TTGAATGTAGCCCATACCTCGTAGTATGTCTGTACCATGTGACAATTCACTTAATATTCATGAGTCTCAATTTTCTCCATTTAAAAACAGGGTTAGTTATAATATATGTATTGTAATTAGAATTAAATATGTTGTATTAGTCATTGGAATTATTAAAAATGTAATAAATATATACTAACCTCTTTGTCTCTTTAATATATAAATATATAAATGACAGGAATGGAACAAGAAATTTCCCCCACAACAGGGTTTTCCAATCAGCAAATTTTGTACATATACATAAATTATGTATAACTTACTTATAATTATATATTACATATAATTTACTTACATAATTATAAATTCTGTATAATATACATTATTATATAGAATATATAGTTTATTATATAAGATATATATCAGTGATATTTATCATCTCACTTATCTTTTTAGTATAAACATTTTTCTTATATATTTTCAATATATTCTAAGTTTCAAAGTCAATAATTTGCAGATATAGAAAACAAAGGTTTATTCTCCTTGTTAACTCCAAGATGCATGTTTTTTCCTGCAGAGAATCAGAACGAATATTTTGAGGAGGTTATAAAGTTGGCGTTTGCAGGATTGCACTTGAGAATTACCTACTATAAAATTTCTATACACACAGGTCACAAAGATCACCCATAAATCATAAAAAAAAAAACAACAACAAAGATTATTTTCCAGGCTATATAACTAAATCTGGCATTTGCTTGCACACTTTGTCTTTGCTGACTACTGAGGCAAATAATATACTTAGTCTCTCAGTCGTAAGAAGCTCAGTGTCTTCTAAAAACTCTCAGGCTCTGTCTTGACATAGATTCTTAGTCTATGGTAGAAAAAGTTGGAGAATAAAAATACATATATAAAATTAGTCATCTTTCTCCCCGTCATGTATAGCCGTGGAAGTTGTTTATTGTCATAGTCAGTCTTTAAATCTGAGCTTCTTTTCTCATAAACTGGTATTTGCTCCTTCTCTTAGCCTGCTACGAATCATAACGCTGTTAGTGAAGTGGTGTCGTTGTCTGGGGTAAATACCCAAGGTCCGCCGTCTCGTGCCAAGATTAAGGACACAGACACACAGGAGGACTGAGTTTAGGAGTGGAGGTTTAAAAAGCAAAAGAAAGAGAAAGGGGAACAGCTCTCTCCCTTGCGAGAGAGAGACAGAGAGGCTTCCAAAGGGAAAATCTGGCCCCTTGTAGATGGCACTAGATTTTACAGGCAGGCTTGAAGGGGCGGTGTCAGATTTACATAGGGTCCACGGATTGGCTCAAGCAGATGTAACTTTTACATACCAGCGGGGAAGGATGGTCACCCCACCCTAATCTTATTATGCAAATAGGGTATTTGGCTGGCCAGCGCCATATTTTCTTCTCCTTACTCTACAGGTGATTTGCCAAAGAGACGTGAAGATGGAGCAGCTGTTTTGAACATGCCTAGTCCCAGGTAGTATATTCCTGGGGACAACTGCCGGCATTCACCCCTGCAAGCTCCCAGCTTGCTTGTCTGTGTCTGCAGCACAATTTTATAGACTGTTCTTCGTTAGGAAAGAAAATAATCTGGGGACTTCTTTTCATTAAATGGCAAACCTTACGGAGGACTCCCATGCCCTCGCTATCTGCCTAAATAAATTCTTCTTAACTCCTATATCATTAGGTTGGTGTAAAAATAATTGTGGTTTTTGTCATTTTAATGACCCTGTCTCCAAATCTGGTCACATTCAGAGGTGCTAGGTATTAGGACTTTAACGTATGAATTTGAAGGGTGTGGATAAAATTCAGCCTGTAAGAGTTCCCATGTCTGTAAGGTGTTGCTGTGAGTAAATGAAATGCTCTTTAAGAAGGAGCTTGCTACAAAACCACCAAATAAGGGCCAAAATCATTAGCAATAATTGCTACTTCTGACATTTTATTTCAGAAGTAATGTCTCTTGATAATTTTTATTACAGCTGTATCGAGGTATAATTTTCATAACATAAAATTCACTCTTTTAAAGTATACAGTTCAACATGTTCTTAGTATATTCAGAGTTGTTCAATCACCTCCACAATCTAATTTTAATAAATTTTCATCTCTTCCTAAAGAAACCTCATACCCATTAACAATCACTGTTCATTCCCTTCTCCCCTCGGGTACTAAAAACCATTGATCTAGTTTTCTATCTCCATGAATTTGTCCATTCTGGACATTTCCTCTAAATAGAATCTTACAATCTGTGGTCTTCTTTTCACTTGGCATAATTTCAGATTTGTTTATGTTGATGTATAAATACTTGTATTAGTCTGTTCTCAGGCTGCTAATAGACATACCCAAGACTGGGTAATTTGTGAAGGAAAGAGGTTTTTGAAGAGGTAATTTGTAAAGGTAATTGACTCACAATTCTACGTAGCTGGGGAGGCCTCACAATCATGGCAGAAGGCAAAAGAGGAGCAAAGTCACATCTTACATGGTGGCAGGCAAGAGAGCTTGTGCAGGGGAACTCCACTTTGTAAAATCATCAGATCTCATGAGACTTATTTACTACCATGAGAACACTATGGAGGAAACTGCCCTCATGATTCCATTATCTCTACCTGGCCCAACCCTTGACACATGGGGATTGTTACAATTCAAGGTGAGATTTGGGTGGGGACACAGCCAAACCATATCAGTACTTCACTGATTTTTATTGCCAAATAATATGCCATTGTATGGATATACCACATTTTGTTTATCATTTATCAGTTGATAAGCATTTGAATTGTTTCCATATTTTCACTGTTGTGAATGGCGCTGCTGTGAACATTCATAAAATTGTTATATAGACATATGTTTTTATTTCCTTCTCTTGGACATATACCTAGGAAGGGAATAACTGGTTCATAAGGTAACTCCATGCTTAACGTTTGAAGGAACTGCCACTGTGTTTTCCAAAATTGTTGTACCATTTTACAATCCCATTAACAATACATCAGGGTTCCAATTTCTTTAGAACGTTGCCAACATTTGTTATTGTCTATCTTTTTTATTTTAGCCATCTTAAAATAAAATAGGCATGAAACAGTAGCTTATTGTGATTTTGGCTTTCCTTTTCCCAATGACTAATGAGGCTGAGCACCTTTCTATGTGTTTATTGACAATTTGTATATCTTATTTGGAAGAAGATCTATTTAGATCAATTAGTCATTGTATAACAGAGTGACCTTTTGTTATTGAATTTAAGACATCTTTACATAAACTGTATGAATCTCTTCTGAGATCTATGATTCGCAAATATTTTTACCTACTTGGTGAGTTAACTTTTCACTTTCTTAATGACATTCTTTGAGTACAAAGTTTTATAATTTTGATGACTGTAGATCATCTAATTTTGATTATTGTAGATCATCAATGTAGTGGATACTAATGTATTCATTTGTTGTTGTTGTTTGTGCTTTTGGCATCATATCTAAGAAAATATTGCTTATTCCAAGGACAAAAATATTTACTTTCATATTTTCTTATCAGATTTTTATAATTTTACTTCTTATGTTTAGATCTATGATCTATTTTGAGTTGATTTTTATATATGGTATGCAGGAGGGTCCAATTTCATTCTTTTGCATATGACATTCATTTGTCACAGCACCATGTGTTCGATAGACAGTACTTTCCCAATGGAGTTGTCTTGGCATTCTTACCAAAAGTCATTTGATGATAAATTAAAAGTTTATTTCTAGAATCTTATTTCTATTCCATTGATTTATATTAGATGTCTATCTTTTTGTAAGTGCCACACTTTTTTTATTATTGTAGATATGTATGAAGTTTTAAACTTGGGAAGTATAAATCATCTAGCTTTGCTGATTTCCAAGATTGCTTCAGTTAGTCTTGATCCCTTGCATTTTCATATTCATTTTAGAATTTGCTTGCCAAATTCTATTTTTTAAAAGCAGCTTGGGTTTTGATAATTATATTGGATCTATAGATGAACTTGTGGAGTACACCCTTTTTTAGAAATATTAAATCTTCTGATCCATAAATATGAGATGTCAGTCAATTTTCAAGTTTTCTTTAATTTCCTTCCATAATGTATTATAAGTTTGTTATACAACTCCACGTTTGTTAAATTTCTTTATAAATATTTTATGTTTATAATATTGACAATTAAAAATTTTAAGTTCATTTTTGGATTGTCCAGTTCTAGTATGTAAAAATGTCTATTTTTTTAAATATCGAACATGTGCCTAGCTACCTTATTGAGCTTGCTTAATAGCTCTAACAGTTTTCTACAGGATTTCTTACATTTTATTATGTACAAAATCATGTCATCTGAAAGTAGAGGTAGTTTTATTGCTTTCTTTCCAATCTGGACATTTTTCTTTTTTAAAACTTGTATGGTGCCCTGGATAGACTCCAGAAAAATGTTGAATAGAAGTGAAACAGACATCCTGCTTTTGTTTATTATCTTGGAGGAAGAGCACTCAGTTACCCCATTTAGTATGGTGTCACATTAAAAAAAAATGTGAATTTTTCCTACATTCCATATATCAGGCTCAAGAACTTTCCTTCTATTGCCTGTTTGTTCATATTTTTATCATGAAAGGGCATTGGATTTTTTCAAGTGTGTTTTATGCATATGTTGACATAATTATGTGGTTTTTGTTCTTTAGTCCATTTAACATGGCGTATTACATGGATTGTTTTTTAGATGTTAAGCTAACCTCACATTCCATGGAAAATTCTATTTGATAATGGTGTATTGAGTTTTGTATTGCTGGAATTGTTGTTCTATTATTTTGTTGAGGATTCTGCATCTATATTCATAAGGGATATTGGATTATAGTTTCTCTTAATAGAAATAGTTCAGATTTTATGTAGATCTATATTTCTCTCTGATCACTGAGGAATCAAAAACATTTTATTTTCATTAGGGTGCAACATTGTTTCTACCTAACAAAATCTTATGCTTAATTTTAATACCCACATACCTCATTTTATAGCATTTTGCTTTATTGTTCTTTGCAGATATTGCAGATTTTACAAATTGAAGGTTTGTGACAACTCCCTCAAGGAAGTCTGTTGGTGTTATTTTTCCAACAGCAGGTACTCCATGTCTGTGTCACATTTTGGTAAGTATCACAATATTTCAAAATTATTGTTATATTATTATATGATAATTTTTATATTATTATTTCTATGATCAAGGACCTTCGATATTACTAATGTAATTGTTTTGGAGTGTCATGAACCATATCCATGTAAGACTGCGAATGTACTAAATGTTTGTGTTCTGACCGTTCTACCGGCCAGCCATTCTCCCACTCTGTCTGTCCCCTTAGGCTTCCATATTGCCTGAGACAGTTTTGAAATTAGGCCATTTAATCACCCTGTAATGACCCCTAAGTATTTCAGTGAAAGGAACAGTGACCTATCTCTCATTATAAATCAAAAACTAGAAATGACTAAGCTTCTTGAAAAAGCCATGTCAAAAGCTGAGATAGGCAGAAAGCAAAGCCTTTTATGCCATGTTGTGAATGCAAAGAGACAGTTCTGGATAGAAGATCAAACCAGCCTCAACCTTCCTTTAAGCCAAAGCCTAACCCAGAGCAAGACTCTAACTCTTTTTAATTCTGTAAAGGCTGAGAAAGGTGAGAAAGCTGCAGGAGAAAAGTTTGAAGCTAGCAGATGCTGGTTCATGGGGTTTAAGGAAATAAGCTATCTCTGTAACATAAAAGGGCAAGACGAAGCAGCAAGTGCTGATGGAGAAGCTGCAGCAAGCTATCCAGAAGATCAAGCTAAGATCTTTGATGAAGGTGGCTACTCTAAACAACAGATTTTCAATGTAGGTGAAAGGGCCTTGTATTGGAAGAAGATGCCACTTGGGACTTTTATAGCTAGAGAGAAGTCAATGTCTGGCTTCAGAGCTACAAGGGACAGGCTGACTCCCCTGTTAGGGACCACTGCAGCTGGTGACTTTCAGCTGAAGCCCATGCTCATTTACCATTCTGAAACTCCTAGAACTCTTAAGAATTATGCCAAATCCACTCTGCCTGTGCTCTGTAAATGGAACAACAAAGCCTGCATTACGGCATATCTTTTTTATAGCAAGGATTACTGAATGTTTAAAGCCCACTGTTGAGACTTACTACTCAGAAAAAAAAATATCCACATGGTGGCTTAAACAACAGAAATCTATTTTGCACAGTTGTGGAAACTGAAAATCAAAGGCCAACGTGCCAGCTGATTCTTCAAGAATCTCATGAACAAGATTTCTGAGAAAGAAGGCCTTTTCACAAACACTGCTTTAATATAGTTATTTGAAACGAAGTGTGGGTTTTCTTCTTTAGTTTACATCCTCTTTCCACTACAGTGTCTTGTCTTATGAGATAGATTAAATATGTCTTTTGTATCTTCTCAACTTCCCTATCCTTTCTCCTAAGTCTTAGCAACCCATTTATGTGCTCAAGTCCTAGGGTAAATCTCCCAGCCATGTCTGCATTTTGTTAGAGAATTCTTTGGAGAGTGAAAATAACTCAGCTTGCAAGGAATGAATTCTAATGTTGATTTTCTGGCAATGATGGGGAAACTGCTTTTGATGGGGAATCCTGTTTATGCCTATAACACCACACTACCTTGGGCAATGTTAAGGGTAGATCAGGTGATGAGGTTATGTCTGTGAGTCACTTTAGTGCCCCCTAGGGCTCAGGGATGCTAGAGACTGCAGTGTTCTCAGTCAAGGAAAATCTGATCAAGAATTAATGAGTCAGGGGGAAAACATCTCAGAGACCATGAACTACACAATTCTATACTGGATGGAGCAGTGATGGGGGAAAAAATGCCACATCCTATTATGTAGTCTTACATGAAAATGTTGTCTACTTTCCTTCAATTATATGAAAGAATGGGCTGAAAGCAGCAAGTTTGGGTTTTTGATATCTTGAAGTTTGGTTGTTTGCCTATTGGTTTATTAGCTTCTTAGTAATCAATTCTTTGTCCTGAAGAGTAAAATTAAGAGTACCCTTCATCTGATTGACAGGCTGTATAGTGTATTTCTCTTCCTGACAACTTTGCACTGTTGAAATGATTGCAGTTTTACTCATCTAAGGCTCTGTGCAGAACTCATACTTTATAAATGTGGAAACAACCTTAGTTTAGAAAAGATACAAGCCAGAGAATTAAGAGCACTTTACACATATCTTCCATCCCAGAATTGCAGAAAGCTACCAAAGCAATCACAACAATCAAGATCAACTCACATTATACCTTCCAGTCGGCAAATTCCCTCTTTTCAGGAAGATAAGTCACTAGCTCAAAAAGTTTATTCACTTGTATAAGGTAAAAGGAAGATGCAGGACTCTGAATTTGATTTATGAAACTGATCAGAAAAAAAATCCGAATGTACTATATTCTCTGTATCTAAGAGAAGGCAATGGTGACAGCTTTAAAAATATAATATCTCACTATCCTACAAGTCTGATGTTGATCACTCTAAATCACCATTTATCTAAATGTTAGATCCATTCAAGTTTTATGTCCTGAAGGACCTTCTGATTTTGTCCATAATGGTATTTGTGACTTTATACCACTCTTATTTCCAAATGTGACTACATTTATTACCTTAGCTCTTAATATCTCTTCAAAAATAGAATATGATATCCCAACGAATATATGTGGTATCGCTGATTTGCTTCCAGTTTTTGGCGGAGGCCATCTCAACACATTTTTTTTTCCACATCCCTCTGACTTTTTCTTGTTTTCTTTCAAAGAGTTTAAATTTTCAGTGAATGCATCAGGCCATATATCCCACCTTGATCCAGTCATGTAATTCCCGCTGACTTCAGTGGAAAGGCCGCGGGAGGACTGAGGGCAGTATTAGCCCTGAGAGAAACTTAAATGGACCAGCACGTCCATCTGGTCTTGAAAGCACCTTTAGAAACTGTGATAGAGATATTAGGAAAGACAGGACGGAGCATCAGAGGGATTTTCTGCTCTCAGATGCGACTAAAACAAGAACTGAGCCAAACGGCCTATTTCTTGCTTTAAGGAACGTTAGCAGCAGAATGGGAAAGACTTGAAAGAATTTCTCAGCTGCAAAATTTCACTCCAGGGACTATTTCTTTGAGTAGGCTCCGGCTACTTAAATTGAAAATGAAATTAAGCATTTTCAGAGATTTTTCTATTCCTCCCCTGCCAGCATCTCCCAAATCGCCTGCACTAGCAAATGAGATGCTTGGTAAAATATGGCCTTGAAAGACCTGCCACCCTTCTTCCTGCAACTGGAGTGGCTATTTATTACATTTCATTCAAAGCTGTCACACACACTTTCTCCACTGTGATATAATTTGGATTTTAAACAAATCTTAAAATTGGACTGATAGTGAAAACAGTGACTCAGCTGAAATTTCTAACAGTTTCAGACACAATGAGTGTAAGTGACAAGATGAGTCAACAAGAAAATCTCAGAAGTTTGGGATCAGTAACAAACTATATATTATATTAAGCACTCACATATTCATGTACCCTACCTTCCATCTAGTTGTATTTCAAGACAATGGTCCCATTTAAAAAGTCTCCCAGACCCTTTTCTCTAATAATCTCCAATTGCATGAGAGCTGAATAGTTGATTCTTGAGGTAGTTAGAATAAATATACATGAAACAAATATTTTAAAATATATAAATGTTATCTTATATTCTCTTCTCAGTGAATATGATTTTAAAAACAGCAAGAAATCATTTTTATTTATATGATATGAATTTCTTGTGGGGAGGCACATTTCTTTCCATAATGTTCTTTTATACTTAGAATAAAATCCAAATTTTGGAATAAAATCTAAATTTCTTACCATGACTTAAATGGATTATTTTACATGAAATGGTTCCTGGCAATTTATTCTCTATGACTTTTCTCCTTTTTAAGTCTTCTGCTAACTGATTTGCTGCTCCTCAAATAAGCCAGACTTGGGGCCTGTGGCTCCATACACTTAGTTTTGAATTCTACTCAAATATCATTTCACCAGCAAAGTCTTCTCTGACTATATGATTTTTGAAAGTATATTTCTACCAGCCTGAAACCCTGCCTTATATTTTAAGTAAAGTGATAAGTGGTAAGAAGACATGTGCTATTTCTGAAACCTCTACACCTACACCAGGGTATATAGTGAAAACTTAACACATAACTGTAAAACGAATGCATTCGTGAATCTGTGAAGTCATTGTTCAACTATTTCATAATCTAGGTTGGTAGATTGTTTTCTTATGATTGGTTAGGCTAAACATGTTAGGAGTGACTACAACATTGGTGACACTGTGTATTTTCCATTATTTCACATCAGAAGACATATCAGTTTGTCCTGATAATTATTAAGATGGTGATGGCCAGAACTCTCATGTGAAAAGTTCTCTTTTGTCATTGTTATTATAAGAAATTAATGGAGTGATACTTTGAGATGGTGAGAATATTCTGTTCCCCAAGAAACATTCACTCAAAATGTTCATCATCTTTTGACAGCCCTCGCTATAATCAGTTACTGTATTTGTGGTTGCAAAAGGTGGTTTATTTAACTCTGTAGGTTTTAGCTAATATTTTTTCGGCCCTCTCTCCATCTTCCTTTCTCTTTTTACCTTTTCCTTGCTCTTTTCCTTTTCTTTATGTTTTTGAGCATTTCTGGGGACTCATGGAGTCTTTTGTATTTTGTTTATTGTCATCTTTTTTTTTTCCCCAGTGCTTTTATTGTCTACATTTGGCCAGTGAAAGTCTTTTGACATATCCAATTAACTCATTCTTTCTTTTTCTCCCCTTTCTTCTTCCTCCTCCTCCTCCTCTTCCTCCTCCTCCTCCTGCTCCTCCTCCTTCTTCTCCTTCTCTGTTTTGTTTTGTTTTGTTTTTGTTTTTTGCACTTCCCTGATAGCACAACAAGATATTTCAAGCTCAACTTGTACTTTCTCTAACCTAGTCCTAGTATTAGGCATTTACCCATGGAACTCTAGTTTCTAGAGAATTGTATTTATTTAGAAATCAAGATCTCTAAGATTATTGTGTCTATTGTTACTGAAGTCTTTTTTTTTTTTTTTTTGAGATGGAGTCTGGCTCTGTCACCCAGGCTGGAGTGTAGTGGCACGATCTCGGCT